AAAATCAATCTACATCTAAATCTGAATCTAAGTGTGTATGAAACTTGACTATGTGTAAATGTACAAAAATCACAAATGTAAAAGTGATGAGGTATGTAATGTGTGATGCTACAGGTGACTAAAGTGAAACTGTAATGAGACTATGTGAATCTGAAAATGTATGGATCCAAATATATAATTCGAACCTATCAAAAAAGTGAAAACAACCAAACAATAAAACGAAACAAAAAAGAGAAGAAGAAGAAAACAAATCTCTGAAGTAGTGAAGTGATTGCAGAAACTACCATGAAGAAATGACCAGAAATACCTCCAAAGAAACTGCACCAATATGGCTAACCATCACCACACTGTTATCTAATCCAGATATGTGAAAACCCTGAAATATGAGATATTCCAAAACATTCAAAATGGGTCATATAAAGCTACATTGCGAAAGCTATACATATCAGAACCGATCACAATATTACTAGTATGTGATGGGAATCAATTTCAATAAATTTCAATAAAAATGTTCCACACAGAATCTAACTATCAAGACATATGGAATCTAACTCAAGGAAGCGGGCTCAAAATTACTTATGCAGTAAACCATTTGGTCTATTAATTCAAAAAATGATAATGAAATTGATGCAGAAAAACATCAACTTAAAAACGGGCTCAAGGTCACTGCAGCCCAACCTGATACAGTAATCTATTAACGAGTATTCAAAAAGCAGCTAAAGGAATTGTATTCATTCAATCCCTTAGGTTGAACCGTGTCCAGGTAATGAATCCAGAATGTCTCTTTTTGCAACAAGATCTTGGATCTGTCACCCCCTCTAATCAAAGGAGGAATGTGATCAATCATGATGAACTTGAGGGTTGGTAAACGGTGTTGAAATTCTAAAAAGTGTTTTGCCACCGGCTTATCAGTCTTGCCATCTCTAAATGCCGTCATAATTCCCGATCTATGGCCTCTTATGCGGTCTCGGACTGTCATATCCGTCTTGCCCACATAATATTTGCCACAAGGGCAAGAGATCAAATACACAACATGATCACTTAAACAGGTCAAACGGTGTTTGATTTGAATCCGTTTGCCTGTATGTGGATGTGCAAAAGACGAACCTGTCAGCATATGACCACAGGTAACGCAACCTGAACACTTGAAGCAACCTTTCTTTGTGTTTTCCTTTTGAGGATTATAATAACTCGGCAAGTCTGTTCTCACCAAAATATCTTTTAAGTTCCTATTGCGTGAGAACGCAATACGTGGTGATTGTAAAAAAATGGGATTCAATGTTCTATCAGAGGATAGAATATCCCATCTCTTTTTGATATTTTGTGAAAATCTTTGACTTTCAGAATGGAACATAAGTGGAATCGTGATCATCGGAGTGGTTTGATGTTGTTTAGTTTCTGTTCCTTCAAAGATTTTCTTCGCCTTCTCAAGGCAATTCTGTAGAACTTCTTTTTTATATCCCCGCTCTAAAAAAGAACTGGTCATATCCTGAAGTTGTGTATTACAGCTGATTTCTTCTGAATTGTTTCTAAACACTCTTATATATTGTGAGATAGGTAAAGAGTTTTTTAAAGCATTTGGATGAGAGCTGTTTGCATGCAATAAGGTATTGCAATCAGATGGTTTTCTGTACAGCCTATATGCTATGCCTTGATCCTTTCGAAATACTTCAACATCCAAAAATTGAATCTTCTCAGTGTTGTGTGTGAGAGTTAATCTAATTGGTGAATCAAGATTGTTAAGTTCAACCACCATGGTTTCCAGCTCCTCTATCGTGCCTTTCCACAAAATAAAAATGTCGTCCACAAATCTGTGGTATGATGTTAATTGCTCTTGATATTTACACAATATATGTGTATTTTCGTATGCAAACATGAAACTATTGGCATATGTAGGCGCTATTGCCGATCCCATGGCTGTGCCAGTTTCTTGGATGTAAAAATTTTTCTCAAAACGGAAATAATTATTAGACAGTGTAAGAAATAATCCTTCAAGTAGGAATTCAACTGGAGGCCCTTCATAAACTTCTGATTTGGAAAGAAGAGTGCGCATTGCTTCTATGCCCTTAGTGTGAGGAATCACAGTATAAAGATTCTTAACATCTGCCGTAGCAAAGATGTACTGAGAATCTGCGAGTTTGCAATCTTTGATTTTGTTGAGAAAATCTTGAATGCGTTGGAATATCTCATATTTCAGGGTTTTCACATATCTGGATTAGATAACAGTGTGGTGATGGTTAGCCATATTGGTGCAGTTTCTTTGGAGGTATTTCTGGTCATTTCTTCATGGTAGTTTCTGCAATCACTTCACTACTTCAGAGATTTGTTTTCTTCTTCTTCTCTTTTTTGTTTCGTTTTATTGTTTGGTTGTTTTCACTTTTTTGATAGGTTCGAATTATATATTTGGATCCATACATTTTCAGATTCACATAGTCTCATTACAGTTTCACTTTAGTCACCTGTAGCATCACACATTACATACCTCATCACTTTTACATTTGTGATTCTTGTACATTTACACATAGTCAAGTTTCATACACACTTAGATTCAGATTTAGATGTAGATTGATTTTTTCACAACATTTAGTTATCTTCTGTTTATTTTTTCTGATTATTTTGTATCTTTATACCTCCAATATGTTCTGCTAAATACATTACAATACATTATTCAATTACACTCAGTATGTAACAATATTATCTTCCTCCATGCACGTTGTTATTTTTTGGCTATTTCTCCTGTCTTATATTTCACATGCACAGAATAATTTTGTAGCAACTGAGATCAGTTGCGATCACATGATTCTACATTGTATTGCCGTTACTAGGCAACTGTTAGTTTGCGATCACATGACATGACGTCATTACGCACGCTAGGACGCAATTTCCGGCGTCGGTCACAGGGGCATGTCGGAGTAATGGGGTTTACACGGTGATAGGGTAAGTTTATCTGTACACATGCTATATATTGTTCGTTTTTACATTGTTTGGACATCTTGATAAAGACCGCTTGACGGTCGAAACGTTGATGTATTTTGTCTAAAATTTAATACACATTTTGTATAAACCCAGTGAGTGCTCTCATTTTTCTGGATTATATATATATATATATATATATATATATACACACACACACACACACACACACACACACACACACATATGCGGCTTGTGCTTTAGGGTGCACACCCTAATGCAATAGGCTGCGCACGCCTATGACGTCAACCCTTAGCTGCAAATACTACACCACCAATACAAAACAACAGACCTATTTATACACGTATTTGCATTCCACAATACAAACCCAATGCTTTTTCTCTATGCGAGTGCTCTTCAGCACATCTCTGCGCTTGGGCTGTCCTACACGAACAT